AAAAAGAGCGAGTACTTGAAACAAAGTATTCTTCAATTGACTAAGCAGAAGTTATTAACTGGCCAAATAAAATGGACTTAAACTGTTTGCTTGTTAATTATTTAATTTAAGCAGAAGTGAAAATGCAGAAAATCAGTTTTAATAAACCAATGTGATATGTTTGGCAGATAGACACAGAAATCATTTAGTGTAGGTAATATATAAATGCATTTATTATACTCATTTGAACATGGTTTAGCACACATAACTTGCATTTCTGATGATGGCAAACATAATAATTATGCAGCAAATCCGGGAAGCTAACTGCAGCAAATCTTGTTCTCTGCACATCGGCTGTGCAAAACCTTGCAGAACTGTTTCATATGCAAAAATCAAATCAACAAAAAAATAGATTTTCACTTTTACCTGCTTATCTTAATTTCTATTCGGACAGAGATTGTTCGAAGGCTTTTCATTCGTTAAGACATGCATGCTGCGTAACGAAGAAGATTATTTTGCGTAGAGAGAAATGAATGTAAATAAATGTAAGTGTGTGAAATATGATCTCATCCAGCTACCTCACAACATCTTCCAGCTGAGGCTCAACATACAGGAACCCATATCGACACGCAAAATGATGATTCGTACACAATAGAGGACTGACAGACGAGCACTGGAAATATATTGAATATTCAAGGATTAGATAGGAAATATCACTCACTAGGCACAGAACAATACTATTGCTATTAGAAACAGGTATTACCCAACTCTTTACGCTAGACGTCTGTGTACCATTAGAAAACAGATTCTTGATGTGAACATTTCCTTACTCTAAACCTCTCCGATGAGTCTAAAGCAAACAGAACACACAACACCCTTTATCCAACTGGTAATACTGAACACAGAATTCTTGACTTTCAAACCATTTTATGGATCCATCGTTTCTGGAACTTCAAAAGCATCCAGAGTCTGGGTATACCACATGGCAAAAAAGCTAAATTGATTTTTTAAAGCAGCAATTCTTCAATTGCAGAATGACGGAAAGTCATTTTTAAAGCTGTGTGCAGTGTTTTGTCGGACAGATTGTTCTAGAAAAAGAGCAACCATACCTTACAGTACTAAGTGTGCACGCTAAATGCTACTGATTTCTCTGAGGGATGTCTTCCTGTCTCAGAATCTGTATAACCAAACTAATCTAACAGTGAAACTTAACTATGTTGCACTTTGACAAATCAGTGGCTAATTCGCATGAATTTATACAATCTCAGGCATATGAAAATGCACTACTTTTAGATATGTAGCCCACCCATACCCTTGCAAAAACTGTTTATTCTGGTGTGCTATAAGTAAACCTCTTTTAAAATAAAAAATAAATGTAAATTTGTCTACTAGCCTTATACTAACAGAAATGTCTGAGTGTATTTATAATCATATTAAGTGTAACATGTTTTGATAAAAAAATACAGTACGTTTTTAAAGTAAACTTGGCTTGTGGTTGTGTTGACTTTTTTGATTGAGTAGCCTATTAAATACACTTTTTCATACAGTCTTATAAATTTATTTTATATATTTGATATAATATCAAGCCATCTTTGAGGTTGAATAGCTTAGAGTAAGTGAAATATGTAACTGAACGTGTAATTTGGTAGTCGACGCAGTGGAATATCCAAATATTCACAGAATATCTGCCAATCCACATTTAAAGGTGCAGTTGGTGATTGTCTCCAAAACATTTTTTTTGTTGTGCTGGCTGAAAGTCTCTTCACATTTCAACAGTAATGATCATAGTAAATGATCTAAATATATTTATATGCTTTAGCACATTGTAGGAAGGATGACACCATGGCTAAAGAATTTATTTTAGACATATTAAAGTTATGATTTAAAAGTATTTTAGTCACGCAAAGCTGACATAGATTGTGTTGTTTTACGAATTAGTTATATGCATGGAAGTGTGGCTTTTGACAGCAGGGGAGGGTCTGTGTATCAAAGATATCATGCTAATTGTTTGCGCTTAGGCAGACCACCTACTGCACCTTTAAATGAATAAGTCAACACTGTAGTACACTGTGAGTGTAAACATTAATAGCAAACTATAAGTTGTGACCAAGTATATAAGTTCACTTACAAGTATATTTGCAGTATTCTTTTCGATTATGAAGTACACTTTGACCTGTACCATTGAAAAACTACTAGTTTACTGAGAATATGTTTCCAAATGTACTTCTAACTTAAAAAGCTCATACATCTCATAAACTATCGATTTACCTATTAGTTAACCCTTGGTATAATTTTTTTTACTCATTCAAACTACTTAATTAAAATGAGCCAAAACAACACAATTCTTGAGATTTCATTGGGAGAACTTAATTTTTTTATGTTCAATCCACATAAATTTGTTAAAAGTGTTAAGATAACTTAATCGATTTGTGTTGGGACAACATGAATTGTGTGGAACCCTGCATTTTTTTACAGTGAATGAAAACCAATGTAAAGTGGTTGAGTACTAATAAGTACCAAGTTTAAATTTGTAACACTTTAAAGTATACTTTAATAAGCTTGAAACATCTCAGGCAGTCTACACTGTACAAATGTCCATTATTAAACTTTGTAAGAAAAAGCTGAACTAATATTATAGTTTGGGTTTAATTAGGAAGCCGTAAAATATTCCGTCTTGCTTAAAACATTAAAAGCATTTAATTTTATGTAATTAAAAATAACCTTGAAATAACAATAATAAAAAAGTCACTTCAATTAATTTTTTGAAGTGAGAAATTGAACGAACATATAAATCTGTTGAACTAATCTCTAAAAAATAATTACACTGTAAAAAAAAATCCTGGTTGCCTTAAATTTTAGCTGAATTAAATTAATCTTAGGAGTCCATTGAACTTATATTTTGTTAAACTGATTTAAAACAGTGTGCGTAATTTATCAAATTAAGTTAAACATGATTAACTTACTTTAATAGGTTACATTGACCTAATACATATGCTGGCAGGACTAATTGATCATATAATTGTTTTTCAATGTAGCTAACACTTTTTATCAGTGTAGTTGTACACTAATATTAGTAAACTTAGTAAAATATAATTTAATTAAAAGTATACCTAATCAAATTAATGATTTTTTTGCAAGGGTAAACATATTTATAGGGTTTGAGCAGTTTATACCAATATGTACAAATGTGATCACACAAATTCATTACGAATTAGCCACTAATATAAAATAGTTAGGAAATGTTGTAAAATTGTGTTGGTATACCACAAATGTACTACTCACAAGCTGAGTCAACTTTCCCAACCCAAACATTCTCAAAAATTAAAATGAAATCATCCTAAAATTAACCGGCAGCAAATTAATGAACTATTTTGGGAGTATTTTCTGTATTGTGCAACATAAATTCCTCAGTTGCAGCATCGTCCAAATGTGTCATGCATTTTCCAGCCATTAAACTCCCTTTTCCAGAACCGCATGTCATATTTGCGCATATAAAAATAAAATCAATTACAAACGAATGTCCAAAAAAGTTCCAATAAAACATCAACAAAAAAAAAAGTGCATACATGTATTTACAATCTTGCTTGAAGCATAACACGTATACTTTTCTTTGTGTATATACTCAGGTTATTAGTAGTCTTCGTTATATAAGGAGACATAACACATAGCAGGACTCAAAAAGATCTCCAGAGTAACACTGACTCAGTTGTGAAGATGTTTGCATTGCATTGCGGCGTTGAATGTCCTGACTGCTAGAAGAGAGAAGCGAAAAAGAGGAAGTGTACATACGAGTGCAAACGAGGCATAAATATTTCCATCCAGAAAAAAAGCGTTCATCCATCATTACGATCCAGGTATATGATCGACACATCCAACCACACATGTCCTGACATACTTAGCAGTGCAGATTAAGTTTCCAGGGAACAGTCGCAAAAGTAGCAGAAAGAAACAAGCCAAGCCAGACCCGTAAAATGTTCATTATCAGACATTAGGACTGCAAATGATTTTCTGACATCTGATGATTTGTGTCATTCCTGTCGAAACACAAGTTGTTCAAGAGGTTCATCGAGATTAGCCCCAAATTCACATTGAGTTCTTCATTATTTTGGTCACTGTAGGGAGTTTTTTTTTTATTATTATCATTGTACAAGGTCAAGGTTTGTTCCCTCCTGATGAAAACGAGAGAGCAAAAGCTCACGAATTATAGTTCGTTTCTCTCTCAGGAAACCAAAGAGGCAGTTGTCAGAGAATTCAAGGTAACAAGACAGATGGATACTGACAAAATGCCCAAAAGTTTCCCTTTAGGAAAATAAAATAGGCAGTTCACATCAAGGGCACTTGCTGCAACATTCCTCAAACGGTTAGGTTTAGTTTGACGTGGATGCCCAGAATTGCCTTGAGAGAGTCTTTATATTCAGTAGGTGACAGAAGATATTATTCCCCTCAAGCTTAAAGTGTATTGTGGGAAGACAAAGCTGGAGTTGAAGATACGCTGCCTGGACAATTCTTAAAGTATATCACGCACAGTTCTCTCTTCAGCTGCTTGCTTGTCCTGAAAAGTGCCCCAAACATGCAGTGCACTCTTATTTGAAACATGTTATTGATGACTTTTTCATCTCGGGTTGAAGTAAATCCATTAAACGCAAGACAAATCCTTCAATCTAGGCATAAAGAGACTTGTTGGCCAGTCCACATGCTATTGTGTGGGATTGTCGTTGTAAATACATCCACTCCTGACAGCAGAGACTCATGCTTGAAAGTTCTGGTGGTGGGGAAAATGAACCTACACAGTTAAACTGCATGAAGACATAAAAAATGACAAAACAACTCCTATGTTGATTTACTATTCTACATGTAGAGAATTAAAAATAGTTTTCAAGTAACAAAAATTGAGGATAAATGTTGCACTGCCAAAACAATGGCCCCGGTATCGATGTGTATTGGTTTGCAAAAAGAATGCTGTGTTGATTTACGGGAGTGTACGTGAAATGAAATGTACGTCTGGTGATGAGCTCCGGACTCTAACGCTCTGACTTGACTTTGTAACGCAGGACAAAGTAAGTGGCAAGTCTGAGAACTAAAAAGAAGACCCCCAGCACCATAAAGTCCACATAGAGCTTTGCGTCCTCCACATCCAACAGCTGCAGGACCTCCTCTGGTTTCTGGAACTTGCACACTATGCCGGGACACTCCAACTCTGAGCGGTTCATGCCGTAGATGGAGAGGATCACACCCTCAAAGCCATATCTGAAGAGGGAAAGATCAGATGTGTGTGTTTTTTTTCCCATTGAGAGACCCGGCAAGCATTTTTTGTTTCTAAAAGAGGTCTAACAGATGACTCATAGATGTCTAAACATAGTTTAAATGGACTAAAACAAGGCAAAATGTCTACATAAGCTGTCTAAGCTGTCTACATTTAGATGTCTATTCAAAATTGTTTGCTGGGATGGATGACAAATTGTTATGGTTCTTGACTGACCTGACATATGACACATAAGAGCTCCATTGAAGATATTTCGGGATGGTGTCAAAGTTGACAAAGAAGCCAGAGAACAGAAGGACTGGGATGGCGGAGACCGGTCCTACAAATGTGGCAACCTGAAGATGCAGAAAGATGGTGTATGTTTATGTTACAGTGTCCATATTATGTTCTTTTAAGGATTCTTTAACTTTAAATAAGAACAATTTCTAGTTTTAACATTAGAACTACAAAGGCACATATAAAAAAAAAAATTGCCATTCAATAACTTTGTTTGAGGCAGCACGGTGGCTCAGTTGTTGGCACTATCACCTCATCACAAGAAGGTCACTGAATTTAACCCTGGCTGGGCCAGTTGGCATTTCTGGATGGAGTTTGCATGTTCTCCTCTTGTTTGTGTGGGTTTTCTCCGGGTGCTCCGGTTTCCTCCACAGTCCAAAGACAAGCGCTATAGGTGAACTGGGTAAGCTAAAATTGTGCGTAGTGTATGTGTGTATGTCCTGGTCCTCCAGGTTGGGGAGTGTTAGGCTAATGACCCACCTCGTAAAAATGAGTTGTTACGAAATACCAATATATGGTGCGGCTAAATATCAACTTCGATATAAATGGCCCTGGGAGTAAGTAAGAGTAAATAATAACTTTGTTTAAACAAAACCCTCATAATTATAGGACCCTTTCTTGTCTTGATTGTGTATTTTTCAATCTAACATTGTTTTTTATTAAAATTAAGAAATACAAAAGAGTTTTGGCTATTTCTGTCTTTAATGGTCATAGCAGTCAAATTAACCAAATACATTTCACAGTGTCTTTGTTGTCTAGCAACTTTCTGAAAGCAATAACATACATTGACTCTCTTTCAGAACAAACTTTTCACTGCAGTGAAAAAACTTTGATCTCCCGCTTGCTGGACAAAGTGAAATAAACAACTTTGCAGGCGGTTTAGTAACTCGAAGACAATTTTAGTCTATATTACAAAAAGATCCTATTTGTAGGCTTACAACACTGATATAATGCATTCTGGTGTTTAAAATTTTGCAAACCTTTAACATTCACAAACAGTCTCTGACTACAGTCTCATCACATCGCCTAAAGACTATTTGAAATTATGCCAATAATAATTAATAAAACTATTCAGTTTAACAATTGAAAATACCAGTTTTAAAGAATGTACTGTAACGTGCAGGAACTGCTAGAATACATTTCTGCATTTAATGCATCTACAAGTAAAATAAAAGTAATAATTTCTTTACAAATTAGTTAAAAAATCTATGCATCTAAAGGTAAAATAAAAATATGAATTCTTTTAACAATTACTTAAAACTCAAATCTTTAAAGAGTAGATTTTTACCATAACTTTTCTTTTTCGTTTATAATTACTTTTACGTTAATCATAGCTTAGAGTAATTAAATTATGCTAGACAGTTATCATAGGGGTTACATTTCCAAATCACAAAACATTTAATGCAAAAATTCATATATTATCTTCATATATTATATATAGTCCATTTCTTCCAATATGTGTCACACTTTTTTGAATTTAGTATCAAGTTAAACGTGAGACTCTTCATACAGTGTATTCATTGGGCCTTTGTTGAAGAACCGCTTTTGAGTTGAGTTTGGCTTTTCGGCTCCAAAAGTATTTGTATTAAGTATTTCTCATTGGAACAATTTCTGGCACCACCACTTGTTTGAAGACCTTCATACCTGAAGTGAAGTGGATGCAGCTCCGATGAGAAGCCCCAGAGACTGAGCCACCAGGGCAGTGGAGGTGGACAGAGCCATAAACAGCAGATATCTGCCTGCCTCTGGGGGTTGCTCTGTCATCCAGTACACTATACTGCAGTACATAATCGGACAAATGACCTGGAAGAGAGAGAAGAACACTGAAGAAGTTTGCCTGGGGCTCAGGTATGCTTAGAAAAATGACACACCTAATTGCATGTGTCACATTTGAACATTTCAGATCCTTCTAAAAGGACACATAGGGTTGAATACATTTTTCAAAATAAAAAGTCACATGAGAAAGATAAACAGAAGTACCTGGAATGGAATGTCAGCCATGGTCTTAGCCAAGTAATACGCCTTTAAACTGTACCAGTAATTAAGATGCTCTCTTATGAACACACCCATCTCCAGTGGAACTGAAAGAGGAAATACATCATCGCTTCAGTGCTTAATTCAATCAGATTCTGTAAAGACCATAACCCTCAATCAAGCCAATAAGCGCTTCTAATCCATCACAAATCAAAAAAGGATTTACTAACTACTCGAATCAAATCTATTTTCCATGCTCATGAGGAATTGAGCAAAGCCAGTAGGTTGACTTACATGTTAGGACGGTGGGCATGAGAGCAGCAAACATGAGAAACAGCATAGAGAAGAACAGGAAGCCAGTGTTGTTGAACACTTTGCTGGCATCATTCCCAATGTTCAGATACAGCAGGCCAATCAACACGCCGATACACAGGTGCGACATCACTCTCAGGTGGGTTAATACCTGAACATACACACACACACACACACACACACACACACAAAGATTGATTGAACAGTTAAAAGATACAAACAATACAAAAGCTATGTTAGCACTTCATTTTGATTTCTGATTTAGAATCCTGTTTAATTTAGATATTCTGTTGACTTTAATTTACATAGCAGCTACAAGTCAATTAGGAGGTTGTTTACACATGGTATTAAGATGTATTTTAGCTGATTCTATTCCAAGTGTACAATGCTAAAAATACAGGTGTTTGTCGGATGTCAGCACAGATGCCACACTCACAGACCATTGGCTGAATGTCTGATGCATACAGCACACATAACTAGAAACACCTCACACGCATATTCAAAGATGTCTTAAAAAGACATAAAAAGGCTAACAAAGCTGTTGTGTTTACATCATTCTCTAACGTATGGAATGTGCTGATTATGATGTTTCGTCAAAGTGAATTTTATTTATAAACTAATTTCGAGAGGATCATGTGCTTATGATTGCTTGCAGCTGGTCCCGCATTATTCAATTTATGATTTACCAATCAGACAAGTCACTATAAATACCCTAAGTTCCATTTAACAGCCATCTTCGTTTTGAAGAAGCCCCCCTCCAACCCCTACTCCTCCTGTATTCCTAGACAAGTGGCGCTGTGGCCGAGCGGTTAGCACTGTTGCCTCACAGCAAGAACGTCACTGGTTCTAGTCCTTACTAAGCCAGCGAACGTTTCTGTGCAGAGTTTACATGTTTCACCCTTTGCTCACGTAGGTTTACTCCGGGTTGCCTGGTTTCCTCCCACCGTCCAAAAACATGCAACTTAAGTTAATTGACTAATCCAAATCAGCACCAAAGACATGCACCTAGTAAGTAGTTATCTCTTAAGAGCAATCTCTATCTGTTCATTAGCCACTACAGCAGGGGAGTTCTCGAGATCTACCTGAGCTCAAACTCCTCTCTCGCCTTGCAAACATGAGGGAGCTCTGGGCTCGAAGATCTTATGAGCTCACGGCTCTCTCCCGGGACAACATGCCAAACAAGCTTAAAATAAATCATCAGCTAAGTGTGAACTCTTGGAAGTATGTGAGGTTTACAGCACAAATTAGACAGCACAAAAAGATGTCCAAGAGTTTTCTTTGAGGCACTAAGAAATATTTTCAAAATTTAAAGAGATCTTTTATCTCTTTTTTCTTATTTATTGGCACTGTTACCTCATAACAAGAAGATCACTGGTTTGAACTCCGGCTGGGTCAGTTGGCATTTCTGTGTGGAGTTTGCATGTTCTCCCCTTGTTCGCGTGGGTTTCCTCCAGGTGTTCCAGTTTCCCCCCACAGTCCAAAGACATGCGCTATAGGTGAATTGGGTAAGCTAAATTGTCTGCTGTGTATGTGTGAGGATGAGAGTGAATGGGTGTTTCCCAGAGATGGGTTGCAGCTGGAAGGGCATCCGCTGTGTAAACATATGCTGGATAAGTTGGCGGTATATTCTGCTGTGGCAACCCAAGATTAATAAAGGGACTAGGCTGAAAATGAAATAAATGAATGAATGTTTTATCTTGTCTTGGATATTTCAAGAGTCTAAATTGGCAAGTGTGTGCAACAACATTCCATAGAAGGTTTCCCTAAAAGATTGCTCTTCACATCTATTATGTAAGATGAAATGAAATACCCAAATGAGAGAGTTAATCAACTGCATATGTGGACGAATATGAAAGACCCAATGCTGACACAGCAATTTTTAGTGCTCCAGGATTGCTTGCTGTCGTTTAAAGTAGAGTGATGTGTACCAAACAGAGTTTACCAACACCAAATAGTTTACCAACAGAGCTTATCAACACCAAACACAGCTTACCCACACCAAATAGAGTTTACCAACACCAAATAGAGTTTAACAGCACCAGGGTTTACCAACAGAGCTTACCAACACTAAACAGAGTTTAATAACCGCAATCAGAGTTACCAACACCAAACAGAGTTTAATAATACCAAACAGAGATTACCAACACCAAACAGAGATTACCAACACCAAACAGAGTTTACTAACACCAAACAGTTTACTAACACCAATCAGAGTTTACTAACACCAAACAGAGTTTACTAACACAAAACAGGGTTTACCAACATCAAACAGAGTTTACTAACACCAATCAGAGTTTATTAACACCAATCAGAGTTACCATCACCAAACAGAGTTTACCAACATCAAACAGAGTTTACCAACACCACTCAGTTACCAACACCAGAGTTTACCAACATCAATCAGAGTTTACCAACACCAAACAGAGTTTACCAACACCAATCAGAGTTACCAACACCAATCAGAGTTTACCAACACCAATCAGAGTTACCAACACCAATCAGAGTTTACCAACACCAAACAGAGTTTACCAACACCAATCAGAGTTACCAACACCAATCAGAGTTACCAACACCAAACAGAGTTTACCAACACGAAACAGAGTTTACCAACACCAATCAGTTACCAACACCAAACAGTTACCAACACCAAACAGTTACCAACACCAAACAGAGTTATCAACACCAAACAGAGTTTACCAACACCAAACAGAGTTACCAACACCAAACAGAGTTTACCAACACCAAACAGAGTTTACCAACACCAATCAGTTGCCAACACCAGTTACCAACACCAAACAAAGTTTACCAACACCAAACAGAGTTTACCAACACCAAACAGAGTTTACCAACGTAAGTAATGGGAAAAAAGAAAAAGGGTGACAGAGTGCATAGGGAACTGACAATCTCTAAACAGTATTGAGTCTTTTACCTGTCAGTCAAATGGCCTCTTGGGTAATCCTTGATCATTCAAAGTGGCTATAGTTCCCAAAGCTTCTACCATCAGACTATATAAAGGCAGGGTGCAAATTACAGTTACAATTTAACACCTTATCCCCTTGAAGGACATCCAAACAAGATATTTAAAGGTCTGGACTTTAAATAGTGAAAAATAATTTCTACTGCTCTGTGTCTTTTTATAATAAATAACAATAATAATAATAATAATAATAATAATAATAATAATAATAATAGCTGAGTAATATATACTAATATATGACTTAATAATAAATAAGTTAATATAAATATAAATTTGGCTGCACCAATAATGGTTCATTCCATTGTTGATGCATGGTTGTGCCCAGCTAGGATGCAGGAAAATATTCAATCAGTTGCCTGAAAATGGCGGATTTGTTGAAAAGACAAATTTTCTTGTAAAGTAGATCTTATTATCTGCATATAGCCTAAAAGTAAATCCAATTAAATTCATAGTGTGTATTTTAATAGACTAATAGATACATGAGATGTCAATGAATTGCAAAAATATATATTTGGTTCAATGAGTCAGGCATATGCCTGTAAAACAGCCATTCTGACTGACTAACACATCTGTCTACTAACAGACTACTACTAATATCCCAATGACTTTTAGTTTGCATGTAGTTTCAAAGTCAACATAATGTCTAAAGTGGACCATCAAAATAAACATAAAAATAAACAGTCTTACCACGTCCCTGCATATAGTAATGAAGGTTCTCTTGAAGAGGATGCAGAACTGTGTGAGGGTACTGGTGGCAAAAGTGTGTTTCTCAATGTATCCAGAATCCTTTACAAATACAAAATAAGACAAGAGGTGGTGGTCAGAGACTGATAAACAGACTGGTTATGTGTGCAAGATTGTGTTTATGTGTTCATCACTCACAGGATAACACTGGGATGGACAGGAAGTGGTGGGGTCATTCTTGTCACTGGAGTTCTTCTTACTGTCATCTGAACACAGGCCTCCTTGAACAGCTTCGAAGAGCACAGGGTTCAGGTCACCGTACTCTCCCGAGGCGACCTCGATTACTGCCCGCAGAGAGACAGCACAACTCATACACATGCTGAATGACCCACAAGAAGAGCCCAAAACCCTTCAAATACACTCATATAATTCACACAAGCAACTAAACTAAACATAACACGTAATGTACAACAAACCAACAATAAATAAATAAATTAGGAGATACCCTAATGTTTAAACCTTGGAACTCAACCCATTTTTTAAATTAACCACCCTTTTTCAGGTTAGTGACTGTTTTTCCCCCGATTGACGTTCATTATAACTACATTTTTTGAATGGAAAAAATTACAAATTTCACCTCTTCCCAACAGGGAAAAACCACCAACAACAAAGAACGCATGATTATATGGTGTCATGGTATTGCATTCAAATTCAATTTAGTAAAAACAGTCACTAACATTATAAAAGTGTAAGTTGCCAAGAATGTATTGTTGAGTTTTTTTAAAATTCTAAAGCATTTTCCCAAAATATGTTTTAAGATAAGTCTTGCCATCAAAAATCTTTACTAAAATACAGAAAAAGTCCTAGCTAATCACTCCAGAGTTCTTTTTAATTTTTAAAATCTCACAAATTCTGCATTTATTTATCAATTTTTAAATAGTGTTACATCAGCAGCCCTTTGTGCTTTGCTACCAAAACTTAATACAAGGACTGATCGATACACCGGATTTGCAACAACTGGATATTTGGCGTAATCGGCTTTTAAAAACTGTTATAGACAGAGATCTTTTTTTTTACAAAAGCCTGGAATGAGATCCCACAACATCTAAAAACAATACCAACACTGAGACTTTTTAGAAAATCCCATGCTCGTCATCTGATGGTCAACTATCGCTGCAGCCACTGGGATATTAGCCTGTCTTTCTTTATTTTGTATGTTTGGGGATTGTTTGTACTGTTCTCATGTGTTGTTGGATGAGATGTTAACAGTGTCTGTATGTTTTTATGTAAAAAAAACAGCATTCATGCTGATTCCGTCATGATTATCTTATAATCTTTTCCTGTTTAAAAATTATAAATAAATAAATAATTTGATGTAAATAATGTAATGCAGGCATATCTCATTATATATAAAATTTAATATATTTTAAAATATATTTTAGGTGATGGTAAAGCTGAATTTTCAACATTCAATCTTCAGTGACATGACCCTTCAGAAATCATTTGAATGTGCTGATTGGCCTTAGATAAATATATGTTGAAAACAGTTTTGTCAGTTAAAAAATAATACTATACAGGTTTGGCACTACTTCATCAATAGAAAATTCAAAAGAAAAACATTTATCTTTATCACTCAGATCTTTAGGATCATATAAACTAGAAATTCCACGAGTTTAGTCAAAGCAGGGTAACTCAGCTTTCAGCTACTACGCCCCTCGCTGCAGGAATCAGCTTCCAGAAATTATCAGATGTGCTCCAACTTTAGGCACATTCAAATCGAGACTGAAAACACATCTGTTTAGCTGTGCCTTTACTCAATGAGCACTGTGCTAAATCCGACAGATTGCACTATTATGTTTTTCTTTTCTTTTTCATTCTTTTACAACCCGTTTTAACACATTTTAATCTGTTTTTAACTGTTTTTAATAATTTTTATTATTCGTTTTTTATTTTCTTATACTTGTCTTTTTTATTCTTGTTTATGTAAAGCACTTTGAATTGCCACAGTGTATGAAATGTGCTATATAAAAAACTTGCCTTGCCTTGGCTATAAATATGAAAATCTGTTATTTTTTATTATGTGATTATTATTATGAAGTTTATTACTTCACATTTATACTATTAATTATATTATATAATATGTTTGGTTATAATTATATGACATTATTCATTCATTCATTTTCTTTTCGGCTTAGTCCCTTTATTAATCCGGGGTCGCCACAGCGGAATGAACCGCCAACTTATCCAGCAAGTTTTTACGCAGCGGAGGCCCTGCCGCAACCCATCTCTGGAAAATATATTATATTATATTATATTATATTATATTATATTATATTATATTATATTATATTATATTATATTATATTATATTATATTATATTATATTAGAAAACTGTCATGTAGAATGTAGAATAAAACAGTACAGGTTCTTCATCTCAAGTACATTATTCCCTTTATACATCATATCTATAAAAAACATGTTCATTCATATGTAATATTACTTCTGGAAGTTCAGAATCAATCAAACAGAAATCATAAACTATCACATCAGAGCTGCACAAGTTCCACACATAAAGACAGAGCGTACATAAAGATCTATTTCTAGGTGCAAATCATCTCTCTCTCTCTCACACACACATACACACACACACATACACAGTAGACCTACTAAAGTCAGCAGGATTGTGGTAGGTGGGGCAGTGGAGTCCAAGGTTTTTCAGGTAAGGGATAAGATACGGCACCGTCCCCTTATATATACACTGACCCTGACTCAGGATATAAAGCTACAAGAAGAACAGACAAAGTATTAAAGACGAACATGAATACATTAGCATCTTCACACACTTAGGGGCAGATTTACTAAACAGGGCAAATTAGTGTGAGAGTGCAAACACACAGAAGTGCTGATGGGAGTGGAAAGTTTTGCAAATGATCTACTGACAAAGCACAAATTAAAGGACACAAATGCAGCAGCTCATTTTCATAATATCTAACGCAACACACACACTAACTAATATTGGGTCACAAACAAATGATGATGAAAATTTAATATCTAACCTTTTCTGACCTTTGCCTATTTAAGAATGGAAATCTGAGTTTGGATTAATGTATGTCTTAGAAATTCAGTAAATAAATATTTAAAATGTCCTGATACTCTTTATATTCTTACATACTATGTTATTTACGTAAAAAAAAAAAATTATAATTACAATTACTCTCATTGGTTTGTGATTTTTTCGCGCACAGTAAGCAGAGAAAATAAATAATGGCATGTGAAGATGAATCTGCGTGAATGGATCAGGATATCGGGAGACGAAGCAAAGCGATCTCAAGTCAACCAGAAAACATGGCGGAAAAGCTACTTTGGGCTCTTCTTGAAGATTAGACACAGTCATTTAATTTTTTTTCACTTCACAATAATAGTGAAGTGAACTGAATTGTGATTGTACATAGGATTTATGTTTGTAGCTACATGTTTTTTATTATCCATGACTGACTTATAACCTTCTATGGCACATAGTAATTAAAGACGGTTTAAAAATGTGATGCTTTTTTGGGCAGTCACTGTTTAATGACGTCATGTTCCGGGAAAACTGAAATTGTTTGGTGGACATCAGTCATGGCAACTTTTATTTCCTGTTTTTATTTTTTAATTATTCATTTACAAATTAAGCACTGCCTTGAAGAGATTCCTGGAAAATACTATGAAATTACTTTTTATCTCTCTGCTTTCACCGATTATCTGTCACAAATTTTCCCCCTTTTTATTACAGCTTACCCCTAGAAGTGTATTTCCAGAAAATGTAATAAAGACACAAGACATAGACATGCTTTTTGACGTTAATATGGATGCAAAAACCTGTAGTTCCAATACCGCAAACATTGTTATACTGTTTACAATCTCTTTTATTTACAAACTCTTTTACTTTGTGTCTGAAACGAAAACTCATAAAATGCATATTCAATTAACTCATTACCTTCATCACTGAGTTTAAAACTCTTTTCAAATAAGCAGAATTAACTTTCAGTAAATTTTGAGTTAACTACACTCATTTCATTTGATAAAGCTGACTGTTGGGTTTTACAATGTACAATCTTTTTTTAATGCAAAAAAGGTGGTAAATATACTAGTAAAATGTTCTTTCGATTGTTAAAAGTGGTAAATACTTTGAATAAACCAACATTCGTCAGGTTTTCATTTTAGCTTTGAAGATAAGCAAAAATGATGTGGGAGAGTAATTGATGAAAGGATTCATTTTTGTGCGAGTTATTTAATTAATAATTGAGATTAGACAGACTTTTGAAAAGTTTAAATATACTTTGAACAGGTCAGCCATTAAAAAAAAAAGGTGTCTACACCATTTCACTGCATGTAGTTTTTGAGCTGACGTAAGCTGTTAGTTAATCTGGCCTTTTATTAAGTCCAATGTTTACAATTGTTTTTTTTTAATTTACAATGCAAAAATTACCTTGTCGAACATTTCGAACAGTTTTGCGCTGGGCTGGTGGATGGTACAGATGATGGTTCTTCCTCCTTGAGCCAGAGATTTCATCAAGGACACCACCTGGAAACAGGATGCGCTGTCTAGACCACTAAAACACAGAGACAAACATGCACATTTGGGGATTTTTATTGGAAATGTTGACGCAAACATTAAATTCTGGATGAATTGTGTCAGTATGTAATGTTAAAGCTGTGTGTACCTGGTGGGTTCATCAAAAAACATGACTGGAGGGTTGTTGACCAGCTCCAAGGCAATCGCCAAGCGTTTACACTGGCCACCGGACAGAGAGATGGTGCGAGTTTGGGCACACTCCTGTAGTCCTAATGCTGTTAGAATCTCATTAACCTGTCACACAACATACCAGTACTTACTGTCTGCTTTATGGGATAAGGAAAGGGCCACTACAGATTTTAGAGAGCATTTGATTGAACAGAAGATCTAATGTAAAGTAGAAGTGCAAAGTGATGTCATCAAAACTGCTGACTGCTATTGGCTGGAAGTGAGAGACTGTTAAATACATGTATCTACTGAATTAAAATCGTGCTATTTTTGGAAGCTTATTGATAACCTTGAAGTAAGTGTATATTGTGTTATGACCTGTAGTTTTTTGTTTTGATCAATGACTGTGTTATTTATTTTTTTTCTTTTCTCTGTCTCTCACTCTTTGTTCTAGATGAGCGTGGCCAGTGATGATCACATGGTTGTTGATTGGCCCAGAAGCATGACTCCAACTTTAAAGGCCCTCTAAACCTTCGCTCTGAAACCAATTTATGCCCCTTTTGTGCATTGTCATGAAATTCGAACAGTTTGCTCTGGTTATATTCTGAGTTGTTCATTGTTTGGTTAATTGCTTGCGTTTAAGAGAGTGCTTCCCTTCAAAGCGAAAGTTGCTGTATTTGTGGTTATTTGTTACTGTTCTGAGACTAGCCCATATTTTGACCATTGACAGGCAGCGGTTATAGACTTTGATAAAGATTTCTTATTCTGAATTATACATGTTGGAAATCTTGTATATATTGTATATGTAACCCTGCCGGTCCTACACCAGCCAAACCCCTCTGAGCTGGGATCGAACTGGCTATTTACCTGCATAGCACTTCACTAGCTGGCCTCTGTTACATTCACCACTCTAAACCTTACTCCTACCCGGGTCATGGCACCAATGTAAGTAAGTAAGTAATGTGGATTTATATAGAGCATTTATAGTGTATGGCCATACACCCAAAGCGCTTCACAATCATGAGGGGGGTCTCTCCACACCACCACCAGTGTGAAGCATCCACTTGGATAATGCGACGGCAGCCCCAGGACAACAGAGCCAGTGCGCTCACCACACACCAGCTATAGAGTGAAGAGAAAGTGATACAGCCAATTCGGTGGATGAGCATGACTGGGAGGCCATGATCGTAAGGGCTGATAAAGGGAATTTGACCAGGACAACCCCTACTCTACAAGAAGTGCCATGAGATTATTGATGACCACAGAGAGTCATGACCTCAGTTTAACATCTCATCCGAAAGATGGCACCCACTGACAGTTTGGTGTCCCCTTCACTTTTACTGGGGCATTGGGACTCACACAAACCGCAGGTTGAGGCCTCACTAACTCCACTTCCAACAGCAACTTAGTTTTCTCAAGCAGGTACTAACCAGGCTCACCCCTGCTTGTAACCGTGCTGGTTCTAAATTAGCCAAACTGTTCCTAGCTGGGATTGAACCAGCGACTTGCTGCATGGGAGCTGGTCACTCTAACAAGAAGGCTGAAGACCATGGCCTCTAGTGTCTGTCGCTAGAGCACCTTTTAGTTGTCAGAGGAGTGAGATTTACCTGCATAGCACTTCACTAGCTTGCCTCCGTTACATATATACTTAGTTTTTTGTGTTTAAGGGAATTTAGTTAATTTAACAAATGGTGTGTTTTGTTTATTATTTTGGCCTTCTCGTGGCCATTTTCAAAACGCTACAAATCTCTTTTCTGTCAAAAACAGCAACAATTGCAATCCTTTTGTTGTACAGTTGGCTGAAATGAATGAAAAGTCTTTTTACAAATATATTTCAAGTTGTGGGCGACACGGTGGCTCAGTGTTTAGCTCTGTGGTCTCACAGCAAAAAGGTTGCTGGTTCGAGTCCCGGAAGGCCAGAAAGCATTTCAGAGTTAGCATGTTCTCCCCATGTTCTCGTATGTTTTCTCTGAGTGATCTAATTTCCCCCACAGTCTAAACACACATAGGTGAATTGGGTAAACATAAATTGGTGTGATTGTGACAGTGTATGGGTGTTTACCAGTACTGGATTGTGGCTGAAAGTACATCCACTGCGTAAAACATATACCAGAATAAAAAAAAATTAAATAAATAAATAAGGGACTGAATGAATGAATTTCAAGTTGTTTGGATAATTGCATTTTGCCTGTACAGTGCTTTGCATAATGAAAACACTATGTTTCATATATAAATATGTTTTTAAGCTATTCTTTTATCCACCCATTTTTAAGCGGCAACAATATTTTGATATAATTACAATAAGTTGTATACTATAACAGTAACATTAAAATAATTATTTTCGGGAAAAATAGTATCAACAAAATCTTGGTTACCAACCCTTGCTCTAGACTAGAGTGAAAGGGAAGAAGTGTTAAAATGTGTCATCTCCTTCCCAAATTAAATCTGTGAAACAAATCACGGGAGTGAATGAAATCATTTATTTCCAAAGACCCTTTCAAGTAGTCTGTTTTGTTATATGTCGTGGATGTAAGTCATTTGGAACAATTTTAAACCTGGAAGAGTTCAAGTAAAGATCTAATTAAATTAATTAGTAAGAAATGTGTTTTGTAGTAGATAGGTGACATTCATGTAACCTTCTATGAGAAGATTAGAGTTGTCTCTCTCTGCACGCTTCTCCAAGTGTTTTCCCAAACAACTTAATTACTGTATGATACTAGTGCAATTACTTTTTCCAATCTGCTCCATTCAAGAGCTCTGCCCTTCAGAGTGAGCATAGGGCAGAGGGAAGCTCATTTGAGAAATAAATTCACCTATTATATAGAGAGATAATAGAGGTACAGTATACACTTACCAGTTCTTTTTTCACCTCCATATTTTCGTTAAGTTTAAGGTTGGCTGACACCTAAACAAAACAAAAGAAAGATTGATTTGAATACTGTTTGGAGTAATGTGCAATCAGACGGTCATTATCCACAAACCAATACCATTATGAGGGTGTATGTTGAGATGATGACCAATTTAGTGCATAAAATATTGATCGGAGTTGAAATTATTTTATATTTTGTCAGAAAGTGAGATTGGCTGCCAGGGGAATTGGTTAAATGAACAGCTTAGTGCTCTATATGCAAAATCTTGTTTACTGAAGGCGAGACACTGCAGGAAAAATACTGCTTTTCATCCACTAGTCAGGCTTGATATTTTGAGATTTTTAATAAAGTGTTTTCAGTCCAATGGAAAGAAAACATCCAAAGCATATTTGTAAATGTTTCTTTGATAATCTTTTATCAATTTCTGTCTGTAGATTTGTAAGATGTTTTTTTCCCAGCACTGAACCATAATCTCCACTTCAGCAGCACTTATATAAAGCATACTTTACAGTTTTATTCTATTCTTAAGATTTTTCGGAGGTAGTGATATACACTCACCGGCTACTTAATAAAGTAAACCTAACTAGTACTGGCTTGGATCCACTTTTGCCTTCAGAACTACAACAATACTCAGGTAGGCAACAATACTCAATACAGCAACAATATTCAGGTAGGCTGAGGTGTTTACACGATGCTCAATTGGTACTAAAGGGCCAAAAGAATCCCAAGAAAAGTCTGAACAGTTATAAGGATGGATCCATGCTTTCATGTTGTTGACACCAAATTCTGACTCTACCATTTGAATGTCGCAGCAGCAATCGAGACTCATTAGACCAGGCAACATTTTTCAAATCTTCTATTGTCCAATTTTTATGAGCCTGTGCGAATTGTACACTGTAAAAAATTTCCAGGTTTTCACAACAAGTTACTGTAATTTTTCACAGTAAATTACATTAGTATCCCTTCACAGTATTTAACTGAAAAATTCACAGTAATATGTTGTATTCATAATTTTATTGTGAAATTACGGCAGGTAGCATGATTACAGCAAATTACTGTGAAAAGGGCTATATCTTTTGCACGTTAGTTATAGAAATTCAAACCTTTTTTTAACTCAACGTAGAAATTAATACAAATGAACTTTTAACAGATAATAACAGAATGTTATAGCCCCCAAACCGATTTGGTTACCAACATCTTTTTATTTGTACTGCGCCTTTATTTAATTTTATACAGTTAACATAGAATAGGAAATAATATTTAATGAACAACTGTGTGCTTAGCCAAAACATAATAAACTGGAATAAAAAGTAATTAATTAATGAAACCAAAGACTGTTAAACAGCCAACAATTATTTCAATGTCAGGGTAAATGTCTGCTTTAGACGGTTTCATGAGTATTGGGCACCTGTCATCGCCTGGAGGTCACTAATCTCAGAATTAAATATATATATATAATTTTTTTTTTTTTAATCTATATAAATAAACCACATATTAGAGTTTTAAACAACTACATTCACAAAGGGGAATATTTGATATTTTTATTCCTGTGTTTAACAAAAAAAATCATTTTTAACAGAGCTGGAACAACCTGGGGGTGAGTAAATCAAGATAGAATTTTCATTTTTGTGTGACGTAAAAAGCACCAAAAAAGCACCAAACTGTTAAATTACAGTAATCCGGGATATAACTGTAACTTTACAGTTAAATCAGGTATTTAAACTGCAACCTACTGCTAAATCACAGTAATCGTTTTGCAAATTCACAGTAAAATATAGTTAATTCTACAATATAATACTGTGAAATTACAGTAACAGACTTTATTATCTACTGTAAAGTTACAATATATGGTTGTAATTTCACAATAATTTAATGTGACAAAACCACAGTAAATTACTGTGAACTACCTCACAATAATTTACTGTGAATTTACATACAGTAATTTACTGTGAAAGTAATGCAATTATTAGCCAGTAATTTACTGTGAATTTAAGGTCAAATTTTTTACAGTGTAGCCTCAGATTCCTGTTCTTAGCTTAAAGGAGTGGCACTCGGTGTGATCTTCTGCTGCTGTAGCCCATCTGCCTCAAGGTTGGATGTGTTGTGCGCTTAGAGATGTTCTACTGCATACCTCGGTTGTAACGAGTGGTTATTTGAGTTACTGTTGCCTTTCTATCAGCTCGAACCAGGCTGGCCATTATCCTCTGACCTCTGGCATCAACAAGGCATTTGTGCCCACAGAACTGCCGCTCACTGGATATTTTCTCTTATTTGGACTAATCTCTGTAAACCCTAGAGATGGTTGTGCGTGAAAATCCCAGTAGATCGGCAGTTTTTGAAATACTCAGACCAGCCTGTCTGGCACTAACAATTCAAAGTCACTTAAAACACCTTTGGGTGTGTGTGTGTGTGTGTTAAAAATGTGTGGCTGTTTGAACTTAAACTTTGAACTTAACTTCATTCATTGTTAAGTTGTGTGTAGATTTTTATGCAAATTTACACATTTTTAATTAAATCATGCCTTATTTGCATTTATTAAGGGAGTAGTTCACCCAAAAAGGAAAAAAAAATCACTATTTACCCTCATAAATATTACCCTCAAAACACAAAGGAAGATTTTTGAAGAAAGCTGATAACCTGTAACCTGTAGTAGGAATGCAAATACTTTGGAAGTCAATGTTTACAGTCAATGGTTAACCCTAAAAAAATATCTTCTTTGGTGTTCAAAGGAACAAAGAAACTCAGATGGGTTTAAAACAAGTAAAGGGTGAGTTCATTATAACAGAACTATGCCTTTAAGGTTTCAAAATGTGTAATTCTAGACAATTTTAATTGTGGAGGCATGGTGATAACTTTTATTTTTTAAATCTATTCACCTGCAGTGTCTTGCCTGAAAGCAGCAATAAGGACTAAGTGTTGCTGAGTGCCCCCTACTGATCATTGACATCTATAGAAAACTTCTCATGCTTCTCATGAAAAAGTCACACACACAACCTCACCATCATTGCCTCTCGTGTTGTCAGGTGTGGCAGTAGCATGTCATCTTGCATGATGTAACATGACATTTTTCTGAAGGTGCGGAGGTCACGGGGTCGCCCATTTACCAGGATCTGACCTTTCATACCCGTCTCTCTGTAAGAAAAGAGGGACATGGAATATAAACCTTAAAAGTGTGTATAAGAAACTCCTGAGACGTGATAGACAAGAAACAAATTGAGAAATGTTTTCTCGCCACACTTTCATGCTCACCTGTATCCAGCAAGGATGTTCATGAGGGTGGATTTGCCGGCTCCTGAGGGCCCCATGATTCCGATCAGCTCCCGACTGCAGAATTTTCCGGACAGACACTTCAGAAGGGCCTTAAATCCTGCACACAGTATATTGGGTACACTGTGTTTATTGACAATTTAAAACAACAGGGTTATGTATTTACAACAAACAAGGGTGTAGTTTGATGACACTGTGACTGAGGGTGGAATTATGAGAGTTGTCATCTTCATTACTTACTACATAGTCTCAGCCACAGATATCACACTTTACTGAATGAAATTTAGCAGATCCTCAGTCGAACTTTGTTTTTAAATGTTCTTACATATTCTGTTTAAAATATAATTTCCGGAAGTCGAGTGTGCATCAATCTTAGCCAGTCCACCTTGAAACAAGTCTGAGTGGATAACAAAAGCTGCAATGCTTACCTCAGTCTATGGCTACATGTACACACATGTCCAACTCATTTCCTTTATTTTTTGCTGACAGATCATTTTGGATATTAATGTGTTATTGTAATAAACTTTTAAAGATATTTGTGAATTAATTACACTATTTTGTGGGCATTTCCACATCTCTAAACATGACGGAGCACAAAACAAAAGCTGATTGGTTGGTTCACCTGTCAGTCAATAAGCATCGTGGACAGTCATTGACCATTCAGTTCTCAAATCTTCAGCTGTCAGTCTAAGGTCTGGCTACATGACACTACATCTTACATGACTCCGGTAGAAACATGTTCATGGGTGAGCTAAAGCAGGGGTGCTCAATCCTGTTCCTGGAGATTTACCTTCCTGCAGATTTCAGTTGCTACCCATATCAAACACACCTGCCTGTAATTATCAAGTGGAGTTCAGGTCCTAATTAATTGGTTCAGGTGTGTTTGATCTGGGTAGCAACTGAAATCTGCAGGAAGGTAGATCTCCAGGAACAGGATTGAGCACCCCTGAGCTAAAGTATTCAAAACTTATTATACATGACTATAGCGGAAAAAGACCACTGAAGTAAATGCTGATAAGACATTTGTTTTCACTGATTACAAAACCACATCTGTGAACTCCACTGTAACAGTTTTTACTTAAAGTACTTTGATTATGCAGTCAAGAGAAACATTTACCCTGATGTAATATAATTTAAAATTATGTAAGTGACTACAAACAAAATATGTGATTATTTGAGCCATCTGAACTATGGGATGAAATGTAGTAAAATTCAATGCAAATCTTTCAATTTACCCATATTACATGATGAATAAAGAGTAATGCAATACCTCACATTATTACCAACATCACATGAGTGAAATTTATATTTTCAATTTCACACTAAAATGTTCAAGTAGATAACAAAATAATAAAGAGATTAAACAGCTTAACTGACCTTAGCTAGATGGACTGAGATTACATCATTTTTTCTTCCCTGCTCCCTCTCTAAGGTCCCTGGTATTAATATAAAGACATACTCTTATCTCAGCCTCAAGAGGGAGACAGAAACTTGTGCTGCTCTTTGTAAGCTTCTTGTTTATGACAAGGGCCTTTAAGCATTTTAAAATGACTGTATGGAGAGACGGAGAGAAGCTTGCATTCAAGTGCTGATTTTTAAGCCTAATGCAAAGAAACATGCATATTTACACAATGAAATCTGATTAAAAATGATTTCTTTGTCAGAATTAATAATTTATTTCTGCAAAGATGCATGAAACTGATCAAAAGGGGCTGTGACTTTCACAAAGTTACAAAAAAAGAATAAAAATATTTTCTTTTTACTAAAGAATCATGAAAAAAAATCTTCAAAAATTGCATAAATGTAAATATCACTATATTTTCAACACTGACAATAAAAAGAAACAATGATAACACACAAAAAAATCAAAAAAAATTTTTTTTTGCTTGTTCAAACTACTTATCTAATATGACTTGAATCAACACAATTCTTGAGATTTCATTGGGACAACTTAATTTTTTTAATGTTCAATCCACTTACATTTGTTAAAAGTTTTAAGTTAACGTAATCGATTTGTGTTGGGACAACATGAATGAATTGTGTGGAACCCTGCATTTTTTACAGTGCGCCTTACAATAACAGTTAACAGTTTGTTAGTTTATGTATAATATGCTTAATTTAACCATTCTGAACTTATGATATGTTAATGTTTAGTTATATCATGACTTTACTTGGAGGAGCACATCATCCTTAACCCATTCTTAGCTACTCATGAACCTTTTATGCACATTCGTCTAGTTTGTTTACACTGAATAAAAATACAAGTGTTCGGTCAGCATAAACACCAACAATTTAAACAGGAGTTCATAAGCAGTTACGGATGAGTTAATGGTGATGTACCCCTCCAAGTAAAGTCATGGCATAACTATTCATTAACAGCTCATGAGTTCATGTTGGTTACATTCAGCTTAAACTTAAATGTTAATTAACAAGTAAATGAGGAAGCTGTTAATCAAACATGAGCTGTTGTGACTCATGTTTTAGTTAAAGTTAGTTGATCTTTAGCATATACATTAACTATGTTAATGACATTAATTCATAATAAAGTATTGTTTAGTTTACATATTAACACATCATTATTCATGTATTGTTTTTGTAAAGTGTAACAGAAAATTCTTACTTTCTCACACATTATTATAATAGATAACAATTTTTAAACAGTTATTTTAAATGTTAATATATTAGCTTTTAATATATATTTTTTTATCAAATAAATACTTATTTATTTATTAGCACTAAAGTATTAATTAGCATGAGAGACATCTTTGCAAATGTTAAGGAAAACCAGTAACACTTCCTAGTAATGTTCATTGGTTATCAATAGTTAAGAACGTAAACTAACAATAAGCAATGTCACACCACTATTTATTAATCTTTGTTAAAGTTCTGTTGTTTATTGTTAATTAATTTACAGTTACATTAAATATTACTGTGCAGACCCCTTTGAGACCACTGAGAACCTGCTGAAGATTCCTAGTTCACATGCCAAATTATATACATGTTGTCTATCCCATTGATCTATGTGTCACTCTGTATTTCAATCACAGTCTGGAGTCATTAGTTAAGTGCTCTCTCTCTCTCTCTCTCTCTCTCTCTCTCTCTCTCTCTCTCTCTCTCTCTCTCTCTCTCTCTCTCGCTCTCTCTCTCTCTCTCTTACTCTCTCTGCATTTCTCCATCCTTCTGTACATTTGCATCACAGAAAATTGATGCCAGATAAATGACAAAAATGCAGAAAGAGAAAGCGAGCGACAGGGGCACCACCCTCACATCACCCTATAATTTCCCGTGCTCTTCTTTGAATACCAACAATCTGTGAGGATTAAATGCTGATAACTCATCCACACATGATATGCCCCGCATCCTGCTGCAGCTAATAATTCATCTTTAGATTTTGCCACTTGCTGACTCTGTGTAACCTGAGCATCAATCTTCTGCATTCAGTCTCTTCTCCATGTACGACACAAGATAAAACAAACAGCACCGTGTGAGATCTCTTACATGGGGCTGCGTGCTATATAATGAGCTGAACTGGGATCAGACTGAGAGCGCTCTTGGAGGGCTCAAACACATTTAATCGATAGATGCAGCCGTGCAGTTTGTGGTTGTGTGCTGATAAGGAAGAAGGCAACTGTAAATCTGTTAGCAATATGCTCTTGTGCTAGCAATGTATAGACTTGCAGAGTTGAATGGGTTTAAGGGAATATATTGTAATAGTTTAAACATAAATCATACCTAAATATTTTGTAGAATGAAAATTCTATATTTTTACAAATCTTAAAATACCATTATCTATTCACACTAGTTTTGTGTCTTTTAAATGGTCTAAATGTAAGTTTTTGACTCTTCTAAAGCATAAAAATACCACAATATGTTTGCAGATATAAGAAACATGCTAAATGAATACACTTGTTTATCTAAAAAACAATGCTGAAGTCAGATATTTTGTGCTTCAATTGCAGTCTTTGTTTGGATATACTGTAAAAAAAATCTGTTATTTTACGATTATAAAAATATTGTAAAATAACGGTCGTGAAATATCAGATATTTACTGTAAAATAGCAGACGTTAAATTACAGAAATGTACTGTAATTCAATTCGGCAGTAAATTTATGTGATTTACCGTCCACTGTTTTACAGTAAATTTCTGTTATTTAGCAGCTGTTATTTTACAGTAAATTTCTGTTCATGCACCTCAGCTGCCGAAAAAAAGTAAAATAACAGATTTTTTTTTTCATTGAAACCCATCCAATGCCAGTTTAGCCAATTATATTTCAGCGTCCCAGGTTGCCTTTCTGGAAAACAACGCACTTCAATAATTCAGTCAAGATTCAGGAAGGCTCTCAAAACATGCTTCCGTGAAATGCCTACTCTGGTGGACAGTAGCAGACTCAGATTCAGAGTTTCACATGAGGTGGTTATTAATGAGCAAATAATATTAATAATACAAACATAAACATTAGATGAGCAGGTTACATTGTAACCCCATGTCCTAAAAACACACTAAGTGATGAGATACAAAATGATAAGCAATTTGGCTGTTTGCACCAAAGGAAGCATGACAGAAATTTAAATCCAGCCATTCAGAAGCACAGTATAGTGCACTTACTGCACTTACTCCAATAAAATGGTAAGGTTTACAATCTAATTAATGCATATTAACCCTCTTTAGCATTATTAAATGTACATGCTGAATCACTGCGGTGTTGGATTGCACTGAGCCACAGTTCTAAAGTTCAATTTCAAACGGTTTATTTTGTTTTCAAGTTTTCATCTGCTGCTGCTTTAAGTGGTATGGCAATAAATGTCATGTAAAATGACATTTAAACTCACATTATTAACATTTAACACAGAATAAAGCACATGAGTTGTACCTGAGGTGATCACAGTTTATCCTGTTGTTCACCAGTGAGAAATAGAAGCCGTGTTTGATATTTAAATTTCAGGTGTTGGTTAGAACAAAAACTCCCTTTAATATGGAAAATATTCCTTCTATCACGTGCCGTTGCTTTTACAGTATGTAGAACACGGTTTGAATCAGCCTATAGGCTTGACAGTCAGGCACACACACTGATGTTGGTGTCGTCAATCTGGCAATCTGGA